TTTTTCAAATCACTGACCATCTGGCTGATCAAGCTGTGGTCTGGGATCTTGGCATACTGGCACAGGAGTACTGCACATCCATTTTTGCTTGTTTGCTCTCCCAGGCTTCTGATCCCCAAGGTTACCCACCTTGTGGCTATACACTTGCACTTGGCAATGTAAGTGGCTTCTTGTGACTGCAACACATCCCAGTCCCCCTGGGTCAAGTAGTGATGCAGGTGAACTAGCTTCTGTGGTTTCACTGACACTGCCATTGTACTTGTGGGGCTTGCAGATAGCACAGCATCAATGCTATCTCTGAGCTTGTTCTTGTACTGGCCTTCCATGACACAGCCCTGCAGTGTATCATACAAAGTTGTGGCTTCAGCCAAGCTGCACACCAGGCTTGATTGAATCTTGCTTGCCAGATTCACCACCAAAGCTTCTTCTTTCTGCTGGGCTGTGCATTTGTTCTCATCAGGAGAAAGGCTTTTCCTTGATTGTATCAGAGCAGCCACAGCCAACAATTCATCTTTGAGCTCATGTGCATTCATGGTGCTGGGCAAAAGCTTTTCAAAACACCAGCTAGCACAGCCAGAGCCTAAATCTCAACATGTAGTATCTTATCATATGATGAAGCACAAAGCAAGAATACAATACAATGTGTTGTCAAAAAGCTAAAAGCATCATCTATAAACCTTTATCATTGCCATTGCTTTGGCTTGCCAACAACAGGCATTACAATCACTGCCAACTAATATGCCATACTAAAGGCATGCCATTGAGAAGGCAACCCCTGCCAATGAAAAGGCTGGCTGCTAATTGATGCCATTCAAAAGGCATGCCATTGAATAGGCAAACACTTGCCACTGTGAAGGTTAGCTGCCAATGATTGCCATTCAAAAGGCATGCCATTGATTTGGCAACACTTGCCAATGAAAAGGCTAGCTGCACATCACTGCCAAGTGAAAGGCAATGCGACATAAAAGAAAACAATATACAAATCTGTTTGAAACAAATTTCTCATCCAATATGAGAACAACAAACCTTTCTAGGGTGCATGACAGATTGCATATTGCAAACAGCAAAAAATGCACAGAAAGGTGAGCTCTTTTTTATCTCCAGTCACTGTAGGTTCTTGCCAGGCTCCAGGATTTCTGATTGCCATCCTATCCGCAAAGTCTCCTCAGCAATAATGATGTCATTTCAAAACAATAAAAAATATATATAACACAAATATAAGTTTAACACATATAATTAACTTATTGATATGATTAAAATAATATACTTAAAACATATCTACCAAAACAACAAAAAACATAAATATTTAGTAATATGAAAACAAAACTACAAAACTGAAACTATGGTAAGTGAATTTAAATTTCAAATTCACTTATTAAAAAACCATAAGTGAATTTGAATTTTGAATTCACTTACCAAAAAAGCATAAGTGAATTTAAATTTAGAATTCATTTGCCCAATTTTGCAAAGTGAATTCTAAATTTGAATTCACTTGTGATTTGTCTTAAGTACAAGGTTCATTGTCGATTGACAATATCGACCAATTCCTTGAACTTCTTGTTGTTCAAAAACCTGGCAGCACATATTGATTTATTTGCTTTGTGAATGCATTTCATCAAAACAAAAACCAAAAAAACACACACTAATCAAAATACAAGAAGCTTGTAGACCAGAGAGTCGCACTTGCTCCAGTCCTTCTGCAAATAGCTGTTTGTGAAAACAGCGCACTTCATCTCCCATCCTTTCGGCAAATATGGACTCCGTAGCTTTTGATCTTGGCCTTTCTTTGACTCCTCTTGGTTCCAATTGCCGTAGGAGTTGTCCACCCATGACTTGTCAGGCTTGTCATAGGACCAACCATCATCAGACTGCCATTCATTATCTTTTGACCATTGGTCTTGCCAAGTGTTGTTGGCATAGCCATAATCCTGCCATGCTCCATCATGCCAATGATCTCCCTTCCATCGGTGCTCATGCCAAGTATTGTTTTGGTCATCGTATTTTCTCTTGCCATGAAAGGATGCCTTGCCAGAGTCTGTATAGTGCCCCTTCTCATCATCTCCTGCATTGGTGTCTAGCTCGACAGGTCCTGTTGTTCCCACAGCTGATTTGCTGGTCAGTGGAAACTCGACCTGTGAAGGACGTTTCTGCAAAGGGATCAGTTTGGGCTTGGGAGGAGCAGCCCTTTGCACTTGAGCATTCTTAGGCACACCAGGTTGAGGTGGCACTTCATGGCTTGCTTGCATTGTATTTACCTTTGGGCTGACACATCCACTGTTTGCAGCCATCGGTGGACATTGCAAGCGCTGAAACACTGGGTGCATTGGAGCCTGACCATGAGCACCCATGGCACAATGAGCAGGAGGAGGAAACATACCAGCTGCAGCCACAGGGTGCATACCAATGCTTGGATTGTTCATAGGCATGCCATAGCCTTGTTGCATGGGAGCCATGCCAACTTGTTGCATGGGAGCCAAGCCAGCACACATCATGGGTTGCATCGGTGCACCCACAGCCATGCCAGGAGGTGGGACACTTGGCACTGCCATTGCTGGAGCTAGTGTGGGTGCACCACTGACCATTGTTGCAGCTGCTGTGTGCGCACTAGTGGCCATTTCTGGGGCCATAGAAGGAGCTGGTGTGGCAGCTACAGTGCCAGCATCATCCATAGGGTGTTTTTTTTGTCGCTTCCTTTGATCTGCCCAGGGAGGTTTTTCATCTCCAACATCAGCACCTGCAGGACCAGCCACATGTTGAGCTGAATCATCAGCATCACCTGGTGCTGCTTTGGTGGCAGGCGCAAAGGGGTCATAGTCAGGGTCCACACACTCAGTAGCTTTTCCAATGGTGACCATGGCTGGGAAAGTGTGTATAAAACTATGCAGTAAGTCTGCGTCCCATGTGCAAGCATTTGCATGTGCATGTGCCATGGTATGTGTCCCTGAGGGTAGAGTGGTATTGTATTGCAAAGAAGAGTTCTATTGTATTTCAGTAGTGTCAGTGACACTTGCTGCAGTAGCTTGAGCTACTTTGGTAGCAAAGCACATTCATTAATTGCAGCTGAAGAAAACAAAGCAGCAAATTGCTGGTTTACAGTAAACATGTTTAACAGTGCCTTTGGACAATGCTCATGCCAGAAAACAAGGCAATGCCACACAAAAGGCATAATGCCACATGGCAAGCATGCCAACATGCCAAGCACAAAGGCAATGCCAGAAAAGAACTACAAAGTGGTTGTTGGTTGTCATTTTCTTTGCTCACCACCAAGGATCAGCACAAAAGAACCACCATTTTGCACTCCACTGCATGGCATTGATTAGTCATCATCTACATTGTCATTCTTTTTGCATTTCCTTTTGGCTGCAAGACCTTTGTACTTGCCAGATGTTTGGTAAGATCTGGCTTCATTAGATGAAGTGTCACTTCCATGCAAGCATGCAAAGAGATTGTGCAAATTTGCTTCATCCATCTCAACTGCAAGCGCATCAGTAATCTTGCTTGCATTCAAGCATGTGATGGTGCCACCACCAGCAGGCAAATCCAAAGTGAGTTCTTGGTCTTCAAAAACTGGCCTTTTTCTTTTGGGTTGGGGCTTGCCATCTCCACCAAACAAATCATCACTGGTAGTGAGGCTGCTCTTGGCATTCCTTTGGCTGACCAAGTCATCAAACATGTTGATGTTCTTGAGGCTGAACTTCTTGGTGTAATCAAACTTTCCACCCTGCACCAGCTTGCACAAAGCATAGTTGCTAGGAACCATGAGCAGCCATTCCTTGCCAAGCTTCTCAACCACCATGTTTTCAGGCACATGCCACTTGTCACCTTCAAAGGTGATGTGGTACAACTTCTTCAAGGTAAGGGGCATTGCAAGCCAGATGGCAGAGATGCCAAACTTAAACACACCTTTGGGAATGGCTGCAGAACAGATGTATTTGCTCAGTGCAAGTGCCTTCTGTGCAAAGCCAAAGGAAATGCTGAAGACAACAAAGCGCTTTTGAGTTGAAGCTCCTTTTTGTCACACCAATTGCATGGCCATTCCCTCTTGCCAGAGTGCCATCTAAGCTTTTCTCTTTTTAGCTGGTGGCTCAGCTTCAGCTTTCACCAGCCCAATTTCTTGGTGCTTGTCAATGGCGCAGCTATTTCTCAAAGCAACAATCTTCAGCTTTCCAAGATCAAGTGTGAATGGGGCCATTTGACCATCATCAATCTCTTTCACCAAAAAGTATGGGACCACTGTTGACTCTTTCAAATCTTTGGCAAGCTTGGGTGGTGTTGTGTAGAAACATTTGCCATCCCATTTGCCACTACCAAACAGTTTGCTCTTGGGCTCTTCAAACCCAATCGCCCCTACATTCTCACACATTGGCACCAAAACCAAGTCATGCTTCTTGATGGGCTGCACAGCAAAGACTCTAGTGCCCTTCCCTTGGACAACCAAGCACTGAATGTAGTTCTCATCAGTGTCATGGGTCTCATAAGCACTGAAGAGCTGTTGGAATATCAAGCATTTAGTGAGCTCACCCTGGCATTGCACACTTGGGAAAGCATTTGCCAAAGAACTGCCACCAAGAAGGTCACCAATCTTTTGCTTTGTCTTTTTGAGTTTCTCCACAATCTCAATCCCATCCAACTTCAGACTTGTAGTCTTTTTGGAAACCAAGTCTGTGGAAGACAGGTGGGCAAAGTTGCTGTCCAAATTGTCCAGCTTGAAGACCATGTTGGGGTAGTCCTTGTGCACATAGTGTTCACCCTTTTCAAGTGCAACCTTCAAGCCTGCCATGAACATAGGGTTTTGTCCTTCTTGCAAGGACACAGCGCATTCTTTCTTTGCAGGCTTAGTGCTCAGGGTTGGCACCTTTTTGCCAGCAAGTGCAAGATCTGCATCAAATGCTTCCCCAATTTCAGCCAGACACTTGAACTCAGTGCTATCTCTGCCAAGCTTCTCTTTTTTCAACAGATGGAGTGTTGCCCTCAAGCAGGCTTTTCCAAATGCCTTGTTCTTTTCCATTTGGTCCAGGTCAGTGCCCAGCAACTTTTGCCAGCACTTGGCTAAGACATCCTCTGCTTCAGTGACTTGAGCTTGCTTCTTCTTGTTCTTCAGCACTTGCAGATCTCCCTTGGTCAAGAACCTGGAGAAGCCATCCACTCTTTTGCTTTCTGGAGCTGCCACTTGTGTTGCCAAAATTGCAATCTTCACAAAAGTGGTCATGCTTGTAGGCACCAGGTTGAGGTCAAGCAAGCTGACAAAGAACTCCTTGCCAACAAAGCATGAGTTCCCAAATTGCTTTTGAAACTCCTGGGCAAACTTGATCAAGGGGTAGCCATGCTCTTTGCCACCCAAGGTTCTTGACCAACTTGCCAATCCATTTGGCATATCCAGCCACCTGTGAAGAGGTGCAGCAAGAAGTAGCCAGCTCATCCCATTCAAAGGCCTCTGCCCCCACAGCTGCATTGGCAATTGTCAATGCAAGCTCTAGTTCCCCCTGAGCTTCAAAGATGCCATTGACACTATTGAGTGCATCAGCAATTGTGGCTGGCAGCTTGGGGAAGGCATCTTCGACATACCAAGGAATGACAATCCATTCCCAGCCATCAGTTGCCATCTCTTTGAGTACACTGTCTTTGCCAAGCATTTCCAAGATTAAGTTTCCATGGCTGTCCTGCAGGCTCTCCTCTGGTGTCTTGCAGCCATGTAGCAGTGCCTTGCAAAATTGGGATGTGTGTGTCGAAGAGACTGTAGCATACCTTTCACCACCCAAAATGGGTGACATCAATCCATTGCTAGAAGCAACCAGCTGCTGGTTGAAGTCTATCTGTTTGTTCCTTTTCTCTTCTGAAGGGTGCATTTCAAAGCACACTGACCCTATCAGCTGATCCAAGCTGGCGCCACATTGCACTATCTTGGCCCCCTTGTGGTGCATACCAAAAGGTTGCAGGCCACTTCCTCCTCTGTTCTGTGGGTGAACCAGCAAGCTGGTCACTGGGAGCTTGGCTTTGAATGCCACTTTGTTGGAGAGCAGCACATCCAACACATGCCTCCACTTCCCAAGCAAGCCTTGGGAAGTGTCAAGCAAAGCTTTCTCTAGTTCCATTTTCACAGGATCTGCCAAGGACATGGCCACAAATTCTACTATGGCCAGGCTTGGGCTTATATATAGCAACCTTGTAAATCCAAGTGCAATCATCAAGTTATGCAAACATTGCCATTGCTGGGCAGCATGCCAAACAGTAGGCAAACATGAAGAACAAAACTGCTTTCAAATCAAAATCTGAGTGTGCACAGGTGCCTTTTTCACAAGGCCAGAAGGTGCATGCCCATTGGCAAGTGTCCTAGCTGTGCTGGTATTTGCCAAAAGGGCTGGAAGGGACATTTGTGTTGTCCTTCTGGAGAACCTTTATGTACTCCAGCTTCTGCTCCATGGTGAAATGCCAATTGGTCATCACTTGCAAAGGTGTCCTGCAATCAAAGGCACATGCGCAAGGCTTGCAACAGCTGCCCCTACAGCTTTTACATGGAACTGAAAGAAACCATTCGCACAAAAAATTGTCCAACATCTAATCACCCAATCCTCCAATCCATCCAGCCACATTCCCATGTGGCTCTCCACCACAACTCACCTTCAACCATCAGCCAGCCACTTGAGACCAGTCTGCCTTTCCATGGCTCCTTTTCCACAGTGTCCATACTTGCCCTTATTGCTATCCTCTCTTAACCAAACTGCTTGCATTCCACATATTCCAGCTCAAAAAAAATCTATCCCAGCTTTAAAAAATCAACAGCAACAAACAACAGCACTCAATGATCGCAGACATTCTTTCATGCCACCATGGGCATTGCCATGTTCATGCCATCATGGGCAATGCCAAAGAGGTGTGGCATGTCCAACTGCTATAATGGCATTGCTCTGGAGGGAAAAATTAATCCAGCTATAGGTTTTGCTACCAATGTTGTATGGGTGAGGGGAACAGGTAACCACTTAGCTAACAACTTAGCCCACCACTTAGCTAACCTACTTAGCTAAGTGGTTAGCCAATTGGCTAAGTACTTAGCTAAGTACTTATGTTGCATGGTTGGAAACAGGCTAACCACTTAGCTAACCACTTAGCTTTTTTAATAGAGGTTATGTTAGTTATCGTATCGTTTACTAACCCAGCTGCCCAACTGCTAAGTGAATACATTGTTTGCAGTGTTTACAACTGCCTTACTGGCACATGTACTTGACATACAAATGACTTACTAAGTCACTTGCCAACTCCCTAAACACATCTAACTACATAGCAAACACCCGGCTCATCTAAGAAGAGTGGGAGTTCTGGTTTCACATCTTCCCTCCCGGAACGGAAACTCCATGAAAGCGCCCCGGAACTCAGCCGACGTGCAGAGAAGGAAGGGTGCTTAGACCCACATGGTCCGTAGACTCTGTAGACCGTCGTCACGACGCGCCCTTCGGGTCCGAAGTGTGCAGGGTGCCCTGATGGTTCTGAATGGTCTGACAATCAAACAGCAGGAGATCCAAGTTGAATTTCCTGAACCCTGAGCCAGGGTCTCAAAACTGGTGGACTTCGGCATGGCATGGCGCTTATATGAACAATCCATTCACCCCAGGTCAACCCCATCTGATCGGCACAGTCCCGAGCGTCAGTTTCTCCAAAGAACACCCGGTCCAAACCACTGGTACGACTTGAAAGAGACATGGGTAGCCGTCGCACCCTGGCCCTTTGTTTAAGGATTCTCCTTCAAAATTAGGGGGTCGAACTAACTGGGTGTTTTAATGCACACCCACCTCATTTTAGTAAAATCCATCAATTGGACGGCCGAACTAACCGCGCAGTCCTTGAAGAGGATTCCGGCGCCGCGGCCGGCGCGGGAGCAGACACGAGGTCCACACGGGGTTTGAAGTTCTGCAGCATCCATGTGCCAACCTCAGCGAGGTTGGGTCGTTGGACATGTCAAAAGTTCCAACACTGCATTTCTCTGGTGAACTCGAATGCTCAGGGCTGACAGTGTCTGGTAATGACATGGACATATGAGGTACAAGACAACAATGTAACAATGTGACATGAAGTCAAACGAAGCGAGGCATGAGAAGGCGAGATTCAGTGAGAGTACATACGTAATAGGATGATGATGATGATGATGATGATGATGACATGAAATGACGCCAGTCCACCGGTCCGTGTCAGCTATGTGATGGACTGGTTCAGACATCTGTTGTGGCATGGTGAAAACAAATTCACAGATTCACCCCCGTGACATCCGGTGACAAGGTCCATTTCATGACATTGAGAAGTCCAACAGCTATGTCAGCTGTTTACTTCTTTGGAAAGGCAAAACTATCCCTGCCAGCACTCTCCGGCAGGTCTATCTGCAAGGTAGAGGAGATTTATTGGAGGGTGTTAATTCAAATCACCAAATCAAAAACCGAGCAACGGATGGAGACATGTGGTTGGGGCCAGTCTGCGGTGTCCTCAGTTGCTGCCGTGTCCTGTGTTTGATCGAACAATTCAAACGTGCGAGTCTTCTGGAAAAAACACTCCACGTGGCTGTGGGTCAAAACTCGGATGCCCCAAACCAGGATAGGTTGACCTGCTTAGTATTGTACTTTGTTCATATGTTCTTGTCAAGTATGGAAGGCAAGTTGCTTCCAGAACACCACTACCAGGGGACAGGTGAATATGACACACCCATGGGGCCGGGCTATCAAAAGAATGTTAATATAAAAAAACATGTTCGATAAAAACATAGAATAGCGGCCTTGCACATAGAATATTATTCATTCAATCGGGAACTCAAGATGTGCATGTGAAAGGGGTGGGTCAGATTTTGGAAGGTCAGGTGCAAATAGAATACAAGGATGCAGAAAGAATATTGATAATATGCCGATTTGACACAAAAGAAAGACTATTGATATCCCGCCCGTAACATTTGGCCCTCAACTTGAGCACTATATTTATCTAGATGGCCATGGAGTGTTTCAACGATCACTATGCAACCCTGCAGATCGACCCAGGGAGCGGATGGCAACCCATCCAGAGACATCGGTGTTGTGAGGGAAAAAGGCTGTTTGTTCATCCAGTGGCTTACCATGTTCACAGCCACCCTAATGCGATTTTGTATATTCTAACTGCGTGTATTTAATTTTGGAATATTCTGAGCGCTAGCTTGTTGTGATAAAACATCTTTATCAAACATGTCCGCTTACAAAGTGCTGCGCCTGCCACGCAAGCTGCCGTGACTGCACAGGCTGCAGTATAAATTACTATGTAATATGTTGGTGGTTCCTCACCTGTCAGGTGAGGGTTGTTCGATTTTACGTCAGCTGCCTTGCTCCTTCTCCCCCTCGCCTCCTCAACTGGGAGCGTCGGATGGCAGCGTCGGCAGCGTTCCCCGCCAAACCTCAACTGCGATCTCCGGATGGGAGCATGCCGCGCCGGGCCTCAACCGCCAGCTCCGGGTGGCAGCGCCCCCGCCGGACCTCAATCGCCAGCTCTGGACGGCCCTCAACCGCAAGTTATAACCGCCAGTTCCGGACGGCAGTATTCCCCGCCGGACCTCAACCGCCAGCTCTGAAGGGCACTGTTCCGCGCCGGAAGAATGTCAGAAGATACGCCGGAAAGAATGTCAGACAGGACACAAAAAAGGTAGAAGGTATGACCGAAAGAATGTCAGAAGATATGCCAGAACGAATGTCAGAAGATATGCCAAAAAGAATGTCAGAAAATTTGCAAGAAGACATGTCAGAAAGAATGTCATGCTCCATTGCTTGCAAACTTGGGGTTGATTGGACATGATTGGACCAGCCTCAACGAATCTAAGCTCCAAACTCTTCAAGTGCATGGGCCTTTGGGATGGACGTTTGAGTTGTGGCAGCTGAAGGCTTTGGAGTCTTTGGAGTATGAAACAAAAACAATGTTGGACGTTGGACGTCCGCACTGAATTTGAAGGAACTTGTATTTCTAAGTGCGGCTGCTGGCGCGCAATATGGAGAAAATCATGTTATACAAAAAATTGACGGCTGTTAATTCTCGTGTTGTTGAGCATCACCTCCATGGGTGAGGCAATTGCAAGAACCACCTTTTGTGGTGCAACGCCGTTCTGATTGACTCCTCATTTATCTTCTTTCATTTCCAACAATGTGGTCTTCAGTTTGTTGAAGAGCCAATCCGAACATCTGACATGAGACGTTTGTTTGGAATCTTTGATTCTGTCGATATGTCTCTGCATCATTCGCTGCATCATTCGAACCTTTTTCAATCGTGAATACAACCATGTGTACTTGGTCAACTCCGATGGTTGCAAACCTTGCGGGATTGAATTGAGAACAAATTCAATGCAATCAACGAACGTGCGAAGACCCTCATAGGTATAAGAACTGATGTCGAGCTCTAACAAGCTTTGCTGTGTTAAATGGGCTCCACGGCTCAAGTCCAAGAAGAATCTCCTAGCAACCATGTTGAGCAAAACCCTTCCCAACGATAACGGTGCCCTACCCCGCAACTGCTCATTCTCAGTATACGCCTGAAACTGTAAACCCAATTCCCCTCTGAGATGCTTGGGCCCCATCGATTGGCTGGCTAGAAAGGCATCAAAACGTGGCATCTCAAGTGAAGTCTGTTCTAGATATTCCACTGTGCTGTCTGCCGAAAATGCTTGAAGCAACCAAGTCATGATGCGGTTTCACCAGCTTTATGAATTGAGGAACGAGTTGCGCCAACCGCGAAACTGCGCGACGTCATTCCGGAGTGTTGGCACTCCTTGGTTCTATATATGGATGACTCAACATTGATCATTGCGGAACCTGCACCTACAGCCCTGGCTATGACCCATTGGGCTTCCCCCACCTCCACCACCATCACCCGGCTCACTGGGCCATGACGGATCATGAGTACTCAGTGGCGTGAAACACCCCTTTCCTTTAAGTCAGCATCCCCGGCCTCGGATGCTGAGGAGAATGATGAAGGAGTGCTCGGCTGTCCTGGTGGCTGCGGCTTCTTCGGTGACATGTTCATGAAACCTTGTGGAACGTAACTCACACATGCAGACTGGCTCGGTGACACATTTGGTGATGCTACACAAACCGATGCAAGGGGGGTAACGAAAGGCGACCCTGCTGGA